TTGGACCCTAAACCCTAAGCCCTAAACCCTGGACCCTAAACCCTAAACCTTGGACCCTAAACCCTAAATCCTGATCCCTAAACCCTAAACCCTAAACCCCTAAGCCCTAAACCCTGGACCCTAAACCCTATCCTGAACCCTAAACCCAAAACCCCAAACCCAAACCCACCCTAAGAAGCCCGAAAAGGGAACCTCGGGCCTTCGACTTTCAAATCGCTCCAGTCTGGGATCCACCCTAAACGATTCTATAGGGTTTAGGGGTTTTGGGGGTTTAGGGTTTAGGGGTTTAGGGTTTAGGGGTTTAGGGTTTAGGGTTTAGGGTTTTAGGGTTTAGGGGTTTAGGGTTTGGGGGTTGAGGTTTAGGGGTTTAGGGTTTAGGGTAAACCCTAAACCCTATAAACCCTAAAGCCCTAACACACCCTCCATCACTCAACCCTCGCCAGCCCTCAAGCCCTAAAGCCCTAAACCCTAAACCCTAAACCCTAAACCCAAAACCCTAAACCCAACAGCCCTTAGGCCCTAAAGCCCCAAAGCCCAGAGCCTTCGAACGCTCTGACTTTGGATCTCGGCTCAGAGAGAAAAGCCGCTGTCTGTGGCCGCCGCAGCCTCAAGACTGACTGTCCGGTCTTTGGTTTGGAACTTCTACTATATTTATAATAAGGAACCCTGACAGGGTGTTGGGCTCCTTTACAGCATAAAAGATAATAAGGAAGCCTTACAATAATTGTTGGACTCTGGTACTATACCTATACTATTTTTGGGGGGTTCCTTATTATAAATATAGTATGATTATAATGTGCCCCAAAACCCTATTCCAATTATTATGCAAGGCCTGTACATTATGGAGTTTGGTTTTCGGAGTCCACTTTTGTCAGGGTTTAGGGGTTGAGGGTCTAGGGTTTAGGGTTTAGGGCTTCGGCCTGGATGGCGGATATGATCCGAGTTCGTTTCATGTTTTGGGGAGAGCTTTGGGTTTCCCTTTAGCTGTGTGTTGGGATGCAGAGAAGGTCCCTCAACCCTCGCATCGGGCTTGGGCGAGTTCCGGGTCTTCCCAACAGGGTTTATGCCGTGTTGCTGCGTGATTCTGACTTCGCAGATGATAGGTGTTTCGGGGCTTTCACAGAGGTTACCCTAAACCCTAAAACCTAAGTTACCCTAAACCCTAAACCCTAAAGCCTATAGCCCCTAAGCCCCTGACTTTAGAAGCGAGTTGTGAGTTTTGACCTCAGTCTCTTTTTGCTCAGCTGATGGGCCCCCCGGGTGCTGAGTGGCTCTGGTTTGCTTTGGAAGGTCTGAGTACTGGGTTTTGGGGCTATCGGTGCCCGGTCTACTGCGTGCAGCTTGACCTGCCTTCCTTGGCCCTTACCTTTCTCCTCGGGCTTCTTTCCGGTGCCGGCCTGGTCTTTTGGGTTTTCGTACCTCTTCGGCCCTCTCACCGGCCTGCCACTTCCTCCCCCGGGAGGCCTACCACTTCCGCCTCCAGCCGACGCCTGGCTTTGTATGAGCAGTGACGAGGCCGACGTCACGCAAATTTCTCTTCAGCTTGCCGGCCTTACAATATCCATCACCCGCTCCCGTGCTGCCGCGGACCTAGGACCCAGTAGTCCCGAACCCCTGCCTTCCGAGTCTGGAGTCGGCTCGACGCCCGACCCTAATTCTAGCGGTCCCAGCTTAGGCTCCCGAACCCCTAACCCGTCCGACCTTCGCCCGCCTTCTGCCTCGTCCTCCTCCCGGGCCAGGCTTTTGGACTTTGATCTAATCGAGGGCTCCTTCCCGGACATCCCATCGGCCTGGATTTCGGCCTCGCGTGCCCTCAGGGCTGCAGGGCTATCTGGAGAGGCCCGTGTGAGGAGAGCTTGGGTTGCTGGTTGCTGGGTTAAGGAGGTTCTAGAGGGTAGGTCCCAGACCCCTAGGCCCACTCCCCGCATTTCCCTTGCCAACAGATTTTACGCGGTCGCCCGGTCAGCCGACGGCTCTCCGCCCCAGATCTACTCCTCTCGCCGCGACTACTTTGTCGCAGTGGACCAGCTGCGCCAGTCCTGCACTTTGTCCCAAGCTTTTGCCTCGGAGCTCGAGTGCCGTGTCTACCTTGACGCGGCTGGCATTCACACCTATTTGCCCGGCCCGTGATCCTGATGGATCCCGAGGCCCTGCTGCCAGCCGAAGCTGGCGAGATAGAGTTGTTGGTCCTTGACCCGAGCAACGAGCCTGCTTTGGAGGAATGCCTCTCCTCACCGTGTGTCTGTTACTGTGTCTTGAAGCGCCCGGGCGGTTTCCTCCTAGCTCTGCCCTCTACGGCCATAGACGAGTCTGTGCTGGAGGCTGCGGAGGAGGCCGATTTCCCAGGCCTTCTTGGGCCGTCTCTCCCGGTCAGCTGCAAGGGTATCTGTCTTGGCGAGGGTGGCGAGTGGGTTCAGGTCTACCCCTCTCGTTCAGTCGCCGCCAGGGTCGTGGACTTCGAGATGGGGGCCGCAATCTGCCTGTGCCCCCTGGGCGATGCTCTTGTCGACTTCCAGCCCTTCGATCCTTCCGATGCCACTCTTTATCCTTTGGCTGTGGAGGTCGTGGCTGCCGCCCTAGCTTGGGTAAAGAACAGGCCCGGGAGGCGAGGTGCCGAGGGTTATGTCACCGCCGAGGAGGCCCCTCCTCCTGCTGCCCTCGTTGTCGAGGGCAGAGCTCGACAGGCAAAGGCGAAGGCGCTAGAGGCCAAGGCGAAAAAGCCGACCTTGGCAGGGCTCGCCGCCCAAACCGCAAGCCTCCAAGAGCTTCTTGTTTCCCTTGTGGAGCGGGTACAAGACCTGAGCGAGAAGAACGCCGCGCCTCAGGTCCCGGTTCAGGAGCCTCAGCCATTGGCGGCCCTTCCCCTGCAGCAGGCCCCAATGGTGGGTCGGCCGGCTCTAGCCGAGCCTGTTTTCTCCGCCCTTCCGGGCTACGGGTACGTGCCTCCGAAGCCGAAGCGCCTTGCAGACGTACTGGGCCCGCCGCCCCCTGTCAGGACCGCGGCTCTGGCGCCGGGGCCATGCAGAGGAGCCCCTTCCTGGTATTACCGCAGAAGAGCTTCGGCCCGCCGCGGGGGACCCCCTGGCCCAGGCCATGCTCTTGCAGGCAAAAGCACTCACGAGCCTCGTGGGCCAGATTGCGGGCTCTTCCGACGGCCTCGACCCCAGCAGCCAGAGCGGCGGTCTCTCCACGAGAGGGACCACCGGACGGATGAAAATACAAGGCGAGCTCGCCCTTCGCGACGGCTCCTTCTTCGAGAGGGTTATCCAAGCGGCCCAGGATGGATCCCACCTCCCTGCCGGCGGCCTCTTCGTCCCCGACGCTTCCTGCCACTTCGGGGGTCATGTGCCACTATCTCGAGAGGTTCGGAGGGTATTCGAAGGATCGTGTGCTGGCCAGGGGCAATGCGGCTTGGCCCTCGACCTTCTCGCAAAGGGCGAGGCAAAGGGAGCGGCCGACACGATCGCGATGATGATGCTTTTCCTCGAGCAGTGCTCCCTAGACGCCCAGCCCGACTTCGCGTGGCTGCTGACACACTTGCCGGACCCACCGAACGGGCTTTTTCAGGAGAGGGCCGCGACCCCCACCACAACGCTTCGGCCGTTCGCCCCGCTAGCCGATCAACGGCTAGTGGCGACCACGCTCGCATATGTCAAGGAGCAGGACAGCCTCAGCCTAAGACGGTCCGAGCTCCCGAAGCCGAAGGGCACCCCGAAGGGCCCGCCAAAGGGAGACACCGGACAGGAGTCCGCAGAAACCCTCTCAAGGAAACAGCTGCGTGCGAAGCTCTGGGCCGCAAAGAAGGCCGGGGCCCAATCCTAGGAGCAAATGCCACTGCAAGCCCCCCTCCTGATGTTGCCGGTGCATCTTCCTCTCGCACCGATGTGTTCCAGGAGAAATTAAGTTTTATCAAGTGGGCCGCAGCCCTGCCAAGGTTGCTTTTGAAGGCCCGGACGGGCTTTAGCCGCATGCTGAAGCTCTCTTTTTCGGTATGTTCCCACGAGGGGGAGCCTCCCCTGCCATCCGCCTTCTTTCCCCTGCCTGTGCCCTACCCAGGGGTTTTTGGAAAGGAAAGCCCGAAGCACTACCCCGCCAAGAGGAAGGTCCTTCTCCTTAGGCGCCTCGTTGACCGGTGCGTGCACGTTGCCGTGATGGCCCTTAACTTTGTGCATTGCAACGGGAGACAAATCCCCACCGGGGTGCTTCGGAGGCCGCCCAACCTAGCCCAGAGCAAAGTCTTTGACAGGTTGCGCCAGCTCATTGAGGCGAGTAGTTGTGAAGACTGTGAATTTGCCCTCGCCTCCGGGCGTCGGGGCACGCATGTTTTGGCTCGGCTGGACGAGCTGCGGGCTTACCTCCTATCCTGCGGCATCTCAGCTGAAGCCTACCAGCCGCCTGTGCCTAGCGGGGCCACCGTTCCTCGAGACGATTCGGGAGCCCCTGCTCTGAAGCCCTACAGCGATGCCCGTGCCGACCGCCTACTCATATCGGGGCGGGGCCACTGGGATATATCCCCCTACCTTGGGCCCGAGCTCCAGCTGCCTTTCCTCGAGCCTCGTGTCCTCCTTGGTTGCGACACCCTAGCACCCTACCCGGACACCTCCCGTGAGGATCAGGCCGAACTGTTGAGGGTTTTCGCTCTTTGGGATAGCCTAGGGCTTCTTTCGGTTGTGCCAGCCCCTTCCGATCCTCGCTCTCTGTGTCGCGTCTTTGGCTCTTACAAGAGCCCACTGCATGACAGGATGATCGGCGACCGCCGGGGGCCGAACAGGAAGGCAGGCTGCTTGGAGTTTCGCATGAGCTCCCACAGGGCTCCCTGCTTTGCCTCTACTCTGTGAAGCCCGGCTTCGCCCTTTGCGGCGCCAGCACAGACCGCAGTGACTACTACCACCAGGTCGCCGTCAGCAAGAGCCGGGCTACTTCGAACGCCGTCGGCCCTCCTCTCCGCCTGTCGGCTCTGAGCACTACCTGCGCTTACTCCAGGTTTCTCCGGTCAGGCATAGCCGAGCTCGGGTCCCACGAGAACTGCATGCTGGGCCGCTGCGGGAAGAAAGCCTTCAGCCTGGGCGTCGGGGACCCCCTCGTCTGTGGTGCGTTCTCTTCGCTCTTTCAGGGCGATCACGGGGGCGTTGAGTACGCGACCGCTGCTCACGAGGGGCTGCTGCTCGAGAAAAGCCTGCTCTCGCCGGAGCAGAGGCTCACTGCAGGGAGGCCCCCGCCACTCGGCGATTGCGCCCAGGCGCTCGTTATAGACGATTTTTTTGCTGTGTGCCAGCTCCCTTCGTCAAGCCTCGCCGGCCTTCCCGATGCCAAGCTTCAGGAGGTGCTGCGTAACAGCCCGGCTTCGGATTGCATTCGGCAAGCAAAGGCAGCCTACGAGAAGGTGTCCCTTAAAGGTTCCGACCACAAGGACAACTACGGCTCCCTTCGCTATACCGTTGCCGGGGCTGAAGTTATATCTGATGTTCACCTCGCCCAGCAGGGCGTCGTGCTAGTCGGAGCGCCTTTAGCAAAGAGATTTGCCCTCTCGTATGTGTCGCTGAAGACATCCTGCCTGCCTGCCGTTTCTGAGGGCCTTGCCTCTTCGCTGCTCGGGGGCTGGGTCTCCTACATACAGTACCGAAAGCCTTTTGGATGTTTCTTGGACTCCGCGTTTCGCCTTGCTGCAAAGGAACCTAGCCCCGAGGGCTCTCCCCTCCGACCTCTGCCTAGGAAGGCCGCCTGTGAACTTTCGCTTCTTGCTGCTTGCGCCCCCCTCATCACAACAAACGTTGCGGTGCCGTATGACGGCTATGCCTACTGCACCGACGCCTCCTTAGCAAAGGGCGCCGCCTGCAGAGCTTTCGTTGGCAGAGACCTGTCCGAGGCCCTCTGGCACTCCTCTCCCCGTCGGGGCCCTTTTGCCCGTCTCTCCAAGGGAGCGCCGCCTAGCAAGATACCTTCGAGTAGCCCAGGCGATGCCACGAGGAATGCCCAGGCTCAGGTCGAGCAGAAGCAGGTCCAAGCCAGCCGGCCCGCTGCCGTCGGTGCCGGCAAACAGGTCGAGGCCTTGCGAAAGAGCGGGCGCAGCGCCGCACCAGGTTCGCCGAGGTTCAGGTCAGGTCAGAGCAGCCCAGCAGCAGGCGCGCTGCCGCC